CCTAATACGTCACGTGTTGGATAACAGTGATAAGCCCTTAATTCAATCCACTTTTAAATTTAAATTTATAAACTACTTGGACATGAACCAGGGTAAACACTACTTAATGTAATAGGTCGTGGATGGATCTTGGCAGTTTTACGGTGACTCATACAAATTCACTCACTATCATTAACAATAAATGCACGGGCGTTGACATTATCAGCAATAAATGAGGTAAATCTGTAATATTCACAAACAAATCCCAACTACATAACACTATATAAATACTGTTACTCATAAAACACAATTTAAATATTAAATCAATTGTCGACCATTTTCAGCCCAACCCACTTTTATAGAGCTCTGAAAATAACGATCACTAACGATTTAGTCCCTCGTCACTCGTGTACTCCCGGCAAGTGTTCAACGCACACGTAGTCCCAGCACCAGGCCAGTCAACGACAAAAATCGGCGAATTCCAACTTCAATTTAAGTCCCGTCGATTTCTCAGCGTATCAACGGTGGAGAGACCCCTTAGCAAGTATTCTGTTGGATTCAGGTCGTCCTCCTTTCTCAAATTCCGTCACATAAATTGACCGCAACTATGAAAACGCCACTATCACTTTCAAAATGTCGATTGCGCGAAGAGACAGCCTCGTTCCCAGGCCACACTTTTCAGTCTTTCTTCGTCACGTTTCTGTCCTCCATAAACAGCCAAAATTTGTGTTTCACCCAAATACATTACATTCATGACATTCAAAAATAATTCAAGTCATCAAAGTAAAATAAAGGTACACAATCAACTGAGTTCAGAAAAAAACTTTTCGTCTCAGTGGTGGAAGTAGGTAACATCCCTTATATTTTACATGCACATGTTAAACAGTTATCGACTGACTAACTATTTAATAAGCATTCGGAACAAAAATATACAATCGCCACCACAAGTTGTGTGGCAATAGGTTAATATATTCCCATGAAAACACAACATTATAAAATCCTTCACCTCAAAATCAATGCAACAAATGCCAAAATGCCGAAATGAGGCATTACTGTAAAACACTTAATGTCCCTTCAGTAATCACACTTGTAATATATTTACAGTAATTTATATAATTTAATTTGGTGAACAAAAACATGAACTATGTCCGGGTTATTCGTATAATAGGTTAATAGGTTTTGCCTAATACCTGTCTCAGCTGTTGTGATGCTTACTTCAGAGCTTGCAATACCATATCCAACACTAGTCGACGCTTTTACCTAGTATTTAATAAAACGTAAAGGTAATAGTAATCTAGTTTTTGACATAATCTTTAGAATTTTATAATGGGAAATAATATTAGTATGATCCTACTGGGTAATTAACTATAGCGGGAAATGTTAATGAAAGAACACGTAATTGTAATCAAAGCAGCAGCAAGGATGTAATTCACTTCATTGTCTGAAGCATAGACATTGTAAAACTTTGCAATATGATTCAGTGTTCTTAGAGTACCAAAATAGGATACCTTTACAGAATATCTGACGTCG